AAAGATACTGTTCAAATTATTATTGGTTTTAAAGTTCAATAAATGGATGTTTTCAAAGTCAATGAATAATCGTATTTAATAATCGTCATATCAATTATTGACCAAAATAATCGTGATTATGATTTTTGCCATAATCGAGCAGCCCTAACTTTAATATACTTTAATATAATATACTATAACCATCGGACAACTGCAGGGCCTCATGGAGCTGGTGAGACCATACATACACTTTAATATAAAATACTTTAATATACTATAATACTTTGCTGGAGACTGATGAGATGAGAGCCTACACATTATAATATAGTATAATATAATATAGGCAAGGCAAGGCAAGTTTATTTATATAGCACCTTTCAACACAAGGCAATTCAAAGTGCTTTACAAAAATGGAAGACATTATGAAAATGGCATTTAAAATCAGTCATTAAAAAGAAAAGATAATAAAATAAACATTAAAAGAAAAAAATTATATATAGTATAATATAGTATAATATAATGTGTAGGCTCTCCAGATGCAGCTTGTTCTCTGCAGACGGATATGACAAAACATTCATTCAGGCTTTTTACAAATATAGTTCTGTTGCTATTTCCTCAGAGATATTTTACTGTAAATTTGTATTTGTGTGTGTGTGTGTGTGTGTGTGTGTCTGTGTGTGTGTGTGTGTGTGTGTGTGTGTGTGTGTGTGTGTGTAGGATATCAGCTGTAATGAGATCACGGCTCTTCCTCGTCACATCGGCAGACTCAAAGCTCTGAGAGAACTGAACGTGCGCAGAAACCTCCTCTGCGTCCTTCCAGAAGGTGAGAGATCGAGCATCTTTTCAGGGTTCAATCCCTTTCTTATCGCTCAGAGGAGGAAATTACATGTTTAGCATCCGTTCTACTTTAAAGCAGATGAGTGTCTCTCGGTAAAGAAGTGGAATTCTTTGCCGAATGATTTAAAGGGCTGTAAGAACATTTCTATGTTTAAGAAAATGTATAAAGAAAGCGTAATTAGACTGTTGAGTGTGTTCTGGTTTTATGTTTCAGTATCTGTAAGCAACTGTGACTGAAAGAATATTGCTTTATTAAGAAGGGGCAGATACAATAAGGTTTTCTTCTCCCTGCTCCTTTCCACTATGCGCTATAAAAAATAAACATAAAAACAGTATAAGTGAATATGTTTTGTTTTAAAATAACTGCCATGTGTGGAATAGACAAATAAATACATCTGTGAAACAACAGGAAGTTTGTCTGAGGGAAGGGCGGCAAAAACTATATTAGTTTCCTATCAAATGTGAGAAAAAGCGAAAAATGGTCCATCCCAGGTCCTCAAAGTCCCACGTGACGTCTTTAAAGACTTGTTTTGTGTATTATAATGTAAGATATTCACTTTAATATCATATTAAACGGGAAAAAGCAGCACATTTTCATTCCTTTAAACCAGGGGTGTCAAACTCAAATACACAGTGGGCCAACATTAAAAAAATGGGTACTAGTGGAGGGCCGGACTGGTTCAATGTTTATTGCAGAACTTATTGAAATGAACTTATTGCACATATTAACCCTGACCTGTGTTTCAGACCTGGCGTCTCTCCCTCTGGTGAAGTTCGACTTCTCGTGTAACAAAGTGTCCACGATCCCCGTCTGCTACAGAAAGATGAAGCAGCTTCAGTCTCTACAGCTGGAGAACAACCCTCTGCAGAGCCCCCCCCGCACAGGTACACACACACACACACACACACACGCACTAACACACACACACACACACACACACACACACACACACACACACACACACACACACACACACACACACACGCACTAACACACACATATACATATTTGTATACATATTTATATATATATTTGTATTATGTATTCCTCTGGATTGTGGGAAACGGTATTTTGATCTCTCTGTACACACAAACTGAAAGATTGACAATAATGTTGACTTTGACTTGACACACACACACAGACACACACACACACACACACACAGACACACACACACAGACACACACACACACAGACACACACACACACACACACAGACACCACACAGGACACACACACACACACAGACACACACACCACAACACACACACAGACACACACACACACACACACAGACACACACACACGACACGACACACACAGACACACACAGACACACACACAACACACACACAGACGACACAGACAGACGACACACACACACACACACAGACCACACACAGACACACACAGACACACACACACAACACACGACACACACACACACAGACAGACACACAGCACACACACACACACACACACAGACACACACACACAGACAGACACACACAGACACACACACACACACACACACAACACAGACACACACACACAACAGACCCCAAGACACCCACACCTACACACACACACACACAGACAGCACACACACAGACAGACACACACAGACACACACACACACACAACAACACACACAGACAGACACACACAGACAACAGACACACA